CCCACATCGGCGTGCTTGAGGGCGCCGACATCGTTGGTGCCGTCTCCGCACATGAGAGTCACGTAGCCCAGCTCCTTCAGGCTGGTGATGACGAACTCCTGTGGGCAGACGGGCTGAGTGGGGGACCTGTGCCGGCCCCAGGCCCCCGGCCCCGCCCGGCACCACACGCACCTTCTGCTTGGGGGCCACGCGGGCGAACACCTGCACATGGGGAATGAGGCGCAGCAGCTGCTGGGGGTCACTGGCTTGCAGGTGGGCCAGGCCGTCACCTGTGAGGCACAGGGCGTGCTCCCGCGCCAGCCCCTTGGGGGAGCCGGGGGCCAGGGGCAGTGCAATGCTGCCATCGATGGAGCGCCACGTGCACAGGCCACCTGGGGACAGCACTGGGTCACGGATGGCCGCTGGCTGCTGTCCTGTGCAGTGCCCGCTTGGTGACCCCTCCCACGTGGACCGTAGCCTTGTTAGGACCTGCCCGCTCTGGGCACCCACAGAACCCACAGGCACAGCCGCGGGGTCTGAGCTAGTGCCTGACACCTTGCACAAGGTGCGGGACACTGGCCCCTCTTTAGCATTTTCTCCCCCTGGTACTGGGGAGTCAAACTCAGTACCTTGCACTTGCCAGGCAGGTGTGGTGCTGCTGAGCTACACCCTCAGCCTAACACTGGCCTCTCTCTGATCAGTCCCCACCCGAAACCCTGCTTCCTCTCCATTGCCAGTGCTCCCCAGTCACCCACTTCCTCCTTCCTTCCTCTTGGCCAGGGCTCAGATGCTGTGGACAGGCAGCCCACGGGCCCTCTGGGCTGCCCTCCGCCGTCAGGCTGCAGATGCCACCTCGCCTGGGTCCCCCGCACCTGCACCCCACCTGGCCCTGTAAATGTTGGCCACCTACATCCCACGATGCCCTGCTTAAGATGCCCACTGCCAGGTCCTGCACGGAATAGAGCCCTGCCAAGGTGACATCTAGTGCCTGGGGCCTCCCCTCTGCTTGTCTAAAGAACAGGACCCCACCACAGACTCAGCTGGCTTCCTGCCCGGGTGTGGGTTAGGCAGGCTGTCCAGGGTGGCTTGGAGTGTGTGCAGGGCACGCTGTGGTGCCACACGGGGTGGTGGCAGAGATGCTGCTGTCAGTGCTGAAGGAGCGGAGAGCCGGGCACCCTGCTGGGCCCAGGAGGGCGCAGGAAACAAGGCTGGTGTGACCACCAGCGTCCTCAGACACCAAGACTGGGAGCCGGCAAAGCCATGTATGAGGCCGGTGGGGGCGAGGCCCGGCCCGTGGGCAGGAGCTGTCCCCGACCAGCACCCCCAGCACCTCTTCTGCCCAGTGTGCAGGGCTCACCCTTCTCCGAGGGGGGCTGCAGGATGAGTGTGTGGGCCTTCTCGATGAAGCGCAGCTCCTGGGCCACGTGGCAGGCGGTGAGCGGGTTATCCCCTGTGATCATGACCACCTTGGGAACAGGGGCGGGCTCAGCAGGGCAGAGCCCGAGCTACCCCGGCCCAGGGTGCTCGGTGCACCTGACGTGGGCTGGGGCCCCCGAGAGAGCCCATGCTGCCTGTTTCCCCTAGCTCCAGCCTTGGTTCCTTCTCTGGCGAGGGAGGTCTAAGGGGCTGGATGATAGGCCCTGCCTCCCGGGACGCTGGAGGGCCTGTGGAGGTGACGTAGGAGGAGCCCAAACTGATGGGTTCCCAGCTTCCCTGGCCAGCACAGAGAGCTCTTCCACTACGACTGCCCCCCAGCTGCGACCTGAGGCCTCCTCACTGTCCGGACAAGGTCAGCTCAGTCCCCTTCTGTCCCTTCCTGCTCTGGCCCATACCCGATGTGACGCGTTCTGGATCTCCCGGATCACGGCCTTGGAGTCAGCCTTGAGTGGACAGGAGACCACGATGAAGCCCACGAACTTGAGGCTGCACTCCAGGGCCTCCCGCTTCACCTCCCGGGCCTGTGGACAGTTGGGCACCTCAGCACACGTCACTCCTCCCGCCAGACCCCCGATCGTGCCTTCCCCTCCTGTGATGACCCTCACTCTTCCCCACCACAGCAGGGACGGTGGGGCAAAGCCCTGCCTGCAGGGGCTCCCGTGGTACCAGGGAGACAGGCGACACAGGTGGGGCACGGGACCAGGGGAGCGCACGTGGAGGGGATGCCCTCAGACACGGCCACCGTGAGGAGGGTAAGGCTGGTGCCCCAGGGAGCAGGGGCTTTGGGGCATAGGACTGAGGCAGGAGCCGAGCCGTGGGCGGGGGCCGTGGCTGGGACTTGGGCTCTGCAAAGAGCTGTGACCTGCCGTTAAGCTCTAGAAGAACCTGTGGCCGCGGCGGGAGACTGAAGGGGGGCCCCGGCAGACGCGGGGGAGGGGACGGGGACCCCAGCTGCCTCTTGGGCTCCCTGCGTGTCCTTACCTGTTGGTGGGTGAGGTGCCCCAGCTCCTTGTACCCCAGGGCCAGCACGCGGGCTCCCTCACGGGAGATCTCGGTGTGGATGTGGTGGTAGTCGGGTGGGCACTGGGCAAACTACAGGGAAGGCAGGGCCGTCAGCGTCCGCCCCACACCCCCCACCTGCCCCAGGCCCGAGGTTGGCTCACCATGGAATGGAGGGTTTCGGGGGCCCCCTTCACGGCCGCGATGTAGCAGAGGTCAGTGGAGCCCAGCTTCTCGTAGGAGGCCAGCACAGACATTCGCTTTAGGGCACTGGCAAAATGAAAGCGCTGGTGAATTTTCAGCCCCTGAGTTTTAATACTTCGGGGGAATACTTTCTCATCTGGAAACAAATAAGCAGAGTCCTGAGCGGCTTCATGCCAGAGGCAGCCAGGCCCCGCCCTCCGCTCAGCCTCCCCAGCTCCTCCCCGCGTGCCTGGGGCCTGTGGGAGGTGGGCACTCTGGGGACGTCTAGGGGACCCTGGCACTGTGGCTTCAGTGGGGCAGGGCTGTGTCTTGGCCTGGGGGACGCCGAGGATGTGGCCTGTCCGGGGTCCTTGCTGTGGGCCCGCCTGCAGGGTGCAGACAGCCCAGCCCCTCACCTTTGGTCAGTGTCCAGTCCACGGCCGTCAGCATGGCCTTCTCCAGGGGGTCACCCACCAGGGTGCCATCGTCCAGCTGCATGAGGGAGTGGCACGAGGCCAGGGCCCGGTGTGTCTCTACAGGGATGCTGGACACAGGGGTCACCTCCTTCCCGTCCCTGCAAGGATGCGGGAGCTGTGGGCACAGGCAGGGTCGGCCGAGTGGCGCTGAGTCTTGCCCTGGGCGGCACGCGCATGGCTTGGGGAGGAGGTGGGAACCCCCGAACACCACGCCAGCCTCCCGGGAGGCCCCAGAGGCCATGCACTGGACGAGGCCCACCGCTGGTGGGGACTGGAGACCAGGCCTGAAATGAGGGAAATCCTGGTGGTGGGGCCTCTGAGCAGTCTTCACCCGTGGGATCAGGCTGAGGTCGTCACCCCAGGCTCCCCTCTGCCGCTCACCTCAGCCCAGCCACACCACGCACCACCAGGCTGTCGCTGGTCAGAGTCCCCGTCTTGTCGAAGCAGCACACCTCCACCTTGCCAGCGAAGGGGATCCGGAAGGGCTCCGTACAGTACATATCTGGGTGGAAGCAGGGTCAGGGGCTCAGCCTGGTCCAAGCGTGCTCCGGACCCTGGCCCTGCCCGTCACACTCACAGAGCTTGGCCAGGGCGATGAGAGAGGTGTTGACAGCCAGGGACAGCTCGATGGGCAGCTCGGGGGGCACCACTGAGGTGAGGATGAGGGTGCACTCCAGGAAGAGCTTGTAGCGGTTCCGGCTGGGGTCCTTGGTGCCTGCAGAGACAGGGCTGCTGGGCTGAGGGTGGTGGACGGGGCCTTGGGGTGGGGCTGGGGGAGCCAAGGTGTTTACCCTCGATCCACACGTAGGCAGCTGCCGCAATGGCGAAGACCAGGAGGAAGAGGATGAAGATGAAGGTCTCCAGGTTGTTGGCGGTCACTCTCTTGACCCCAAAGAGGATCGTGCGCAGCAGCTTACCCTGGAGGGAGGGGTACAGAGGCCTTTCACGGAACAGGTCTGTGTGAGAGCACCATGCTGGGTTCTTTCCAGCCAAGGGCAGTGCCTGCCTCAGCCCCGTGAATGAAGCAGACACCTCCCCAGGCTGCACCCTGGCCAGGAGCGAGGAGCCGGCAGTGGAGATCGGGGCAGTGGACAGGACAGGAGAAGCGAGTGTTCCAGGAGGCTTGGCCCATGCCCGACAGGCAGGGGCCTCACTCCGCGCAAATGCTGTTTTCTGGAGCAACCACGAGTGGTTGGGGACAGCCAGCCAGCTGGCCGAGCTCCCCCGAACCTTAAGCTGTAGAGTGGGCCGGATCCCGGATCCCTCCTGTACCCCGGCCCCGGCCTTGGCATAGGCCAGTGCTGCCAGTGTGAGTCCAGGGCTGGATGCTGTGTCCACCGCCATCCCAGAGCCCACCCACTCGGGGCAGCCAAGGGTTGCACCTGGGAGGTGTTGAAGCCAGTCCGCAGGACATAAGCCACGCACCCATTGTCAACCGCTGGGGAGAGAAGCGCTGGTGTCAGCCATATCACCACGTTCCAGGCCCACGGGTGGGGACAGGGACACCCCAGGCCCGCAAGGCACCTACGCTTCAGGCCTGTGGTGGCCTTCTGGGGGGGGATGTGCTGCACAACCTTGGTGCCCCCAAAGATGACGTGCAGCCGGGAGTCGGCCTGCAGGTCCAGTAGGTGGTCTGGGCTGAGGTCCTCGATCGGCTCCTGGGGGAGAGATGGAGCAGGATGGCGGCCTCCGAGCGGGACCTGGGGCTCCTGGCCGGCCTCCCCTGCCCCCGCCCTCATTTCCCAAAGCCAGCCTCAGTCTGCCAAGGCCCCACGGCGCCCGGAGGTACCCGAGACGCCTGTGCTCTCGTCTCCAGGCCCCATTAGCGGTGGGTCCCCCTCCACGGCACTAGCTCGGATCAGCGCTGCCTGGGTAGGGCCTCCCGCACCTTCATCTGTGGCACGGACTCCCCGGTGAGCATGGCCTCGTCCACGATACAGCGGCCACGCAACAGCAGCACGTCGCACGGCACCAGGTTCTCCTGTGGAGAGCGGCCTGCAGGTGGGCAGCACGGTTGGCCAGAGGCTGGGGCAGGGCCCCCCAGCCCCGGCTGCTACAGAACTGGCCTCACCGATGGACACGATGTCCCCAGGCACAATCTCGTCGCTGGCGATGGGCCTCCACTTGCGGCTCCGGTAGACCTGGGTGGGCGGGGTGGCGTCGGTGTGGGCGGTGCGTTCATGTCACACCCACCCCAGGCCCAGCAGAGCCCCGACCCGCACCTGGATCATGTGCGGCTTGTTGCCCATCTTGCGGATCTCCGACATGTTCCGCATCTGCTGCTGCACCAGGGACGCCTCGAAAGCCACCAGCATGGACAGCGTGAAGACACTGTAGTACCAGTACTCGTCCAGGCACCAGAGCCCCACACAGAAGACCTGCGGGACGGGACGGGATGTTGGCTGCTCTGTCCTTGCCCCTGCCCCGTCCCAGGAGCTGCATGCAAGAAGCTGAGGAACACAGGCAACAACCGTCCTGCCCAGGGCTCTGGGTTTGGAGGTGGCAGAGAGGCTTGCTCAGGCTGTGACAGCGCCGAGGAAGGGGACAAGGGACCAAGCTGCTGCTTTACCTGAAACACGAAGAAGGGGGCTGTGGCCCTCTCCTTGAAAAGCTCGGAGAAGTCGGGCACCACCATCTCAGCCCTGCAAGAGACCAACGTACACTCTGTTCCCCAACACCTCCGCCCGGGGACACTGCAGGCCTGCCGGGGACAGGGAAACCACACAGGTGTCGCAAGCCTGGGTGAGCTTCCACACAGGAGGCTCTACCCGACCCCACGAAGAAGGGGGCTGTGGCCCTCTCCTTGAAAAGCTCGGAGAAGTCGGGCACCACCATCTCAGCCCTGCAAGAGACCAACGTACACTCTGTTCCCCAACACCTCCGCCCGGGGACACTGCAGGCCTGCCGGGGACAGGGAAACCACACAGGTGTCGCAAGCCTGGGTGAGCTTCCACACAGGAGGCTCTACCCGACCCCCGCTGCCCTCACGGCCGCACCAGCCCCCTTCTGAGGCATCGGGGTCTGCAAGCGGGGACAGCAAGCGTTGGTGGGTGCTGGGCCAAGGAGGGCGCCTTGAAGCTGCAGATGAGACCCGCAGCCCGGCACTGGGGGATACAGAGGTGAGCCCAACCCCACAGAATGGGGTTTTCCCAAACACGCCCTGGAGGAAAGCCCCGGAACCCCAGAGCTCAGTCCAAGGGTGTCTTCCAGGGCATGGACTGTGTGGTGGCCCAGTCTAAGGGATCAGCCAACGAGGGCTGTCCTCGCCATGCCCGTGAATGGAAGGGATGCTCCCAGGCACGGTGGGACACGGCAGCAGGCAGACAGCACGGTCCCACGCCGTGAAGCTGTCCAGAGCACGGCCCCCCACCCCCGCCAGGTGCCTGTGCCCCAGCAAGCACGGCGGCACCAGGCATCCTGTCCTGGGGCAGCAAGGTGGCCGGCCTCGGGGTGGGGCAGCAGATGCTTCCCCAAGTTATGACAGACACTTTTACAGTTTCTGAAAAGCCACAGGGCCAGGACAGAATGTCTTGGGAGCCCTGTGGTTTCCACGTTGAGAAGCACAGTCATGGTGGCCCACATGGGGGCTCCGAAGCCTGGCTTTACACCGCCCCATCCCAGCTGCACGTTCAGAGGTGGCTTCGGTGGGGATGAAGAGAGTGTTGTGAGGCCCCTCTTCATCCCAGTACACCAGAGGCCTCGGCCATCGAAGCCTCTCCTTTGTGCTGGGATGGAGCCCAGGGCCTCACGCAGGACACCGGTGTCCTGTTACCGAGCTGCACCCCAGACCGCTTCAGGCTTGTATTTTGCTACAGGGTCTCGCCAAGTTTCCCAGGCTGACCTTGAACTTGAGATCTTCCTGCCTCAGTCTCCTCCGAGTAGCTGGGATCATAGGCAGTTAACATCTTTCTATCACTATTTCTAAAGTGCTGAGATACGGACATGCAGAACAAGGAAGGTGGAAATTTGAACAAAACAACTTAAAAATGAAGAGGGGACCCGGAAGAGAGGCAACTCAAGGAAGGAGAGCTGAATGCCCTGAGGGGCAGGCTGGGCTGGGCTCTGGGCAGGCAGGCGTGGTGGAGAGCAGGGTGGCACATGCTCCGCCAAAGGTACCCCATTCTCTGGGCGACCCTGGCCAAAGGCAGACTCTGCCCACTTCCTGGGAGCGGGAGCAGAGTGGAAAGGAAAAAGGGGTTGCCGGAAGTCAGGGACTCACTTGTTGCTCCCAAATTTCTTCTCAGCAGCCCGGATCTCCGCATCTTCCTGGAACCCTCTGTGGCTCTGGTAGAAGGAGAAAGCGTTTCCCACAGGAAAGGCCACGGGAAGGAACTGCTTCTTTTCCAGGGCGTCATAGGAGTATTTGATCTTCTGGAATTCGAAGGACAGCACTTCCAGACCATGTTCGCCCTGCGGGGGAAAGGTTATGTTGGCGGCAGTGCCCGGGAATCTCTTCCAAGTCCCTGTTGTCGGGTCCCTAGGCAGGTAGGTGATCCCTACCTTGTCTCGGTGCAGGGCCACGAGCTCGGTGGAGCCATTGTTGGGGGTCGGCATCACCTTCACAAAGGTTGCTTTGCTGGGGTCGTATTCCTGCCAGACAGGAAAAGCACTGCCACTGAGCCTTCTCAGCTTATGGGTCCACGGCCCCATGGGAAGGGGGCGGGGCTGCCACTGGGCTCCGGTGCCACTCCCCGGGCTGTCGCTGGGACGAGATACCCCCGCACTGTGCCTCTGGACTGTATCATAAAGATGGGGTCGCGGAGAGCACTGGACATCCTGGGGCCTGGTGACCCAAACTCAGAGAGGAAGGACACCACCAGGCGTCTTGTGTGTACGAGGTTCGCAAGATCAAAACCCATCCGCTCTCACTCCGCTTCTCCGCCACTGCGGGAACGCGCATTCAGAGCTGGCTCCCCACCCTCACGCCTCAGGCCTCTGCTTAAATGTCACCTTCTCAGGAGCCCTCCCCAGCTGTCCAGTCTAAAGTCCTCTGGCATCTCTGTTATCGCTCTCTAGCACCCACCGCTGAATGTTTTCTTTTCTCCCACTAATGCCACAAAGGCAGCAGACTCTGCCAGTGGTCCACGCTGTTACCTAAGACACAGGAAGTGCTCCCTCAATTCCGGGAGCTGTACCCATTCCCCGCCGCCCTGCTAGACCCTGTGACGACTTGAGGGTAGAAGGAGGAGAGAGAGCAGCACAGTGATGACCCTAATCCCACGCCACACCTTAGGAAACGCACGGGCCTGCAAGGCAGAGTGAAAACAGCAACACCACCGAACTGTGAACTCCAGGAACGTCCCGGGAGAAAAGCGCAAGGCACAGAAGTGGTGCTGGCTCCACGGTGGGCGCTTTACAGATGTCACCTTGGTAGGGTGGCAGCTTCTCGCAGCAGCACCAGGAGGTTAGGTGTTACGGCTCTCACTTTACAGACATGGGAAACTGAAACCCGCAGTAGAAGCGGTGGCCTAGGATGTGATGCAAACCCAGATCTGAGTCTCCCAACTTGGCTCCTCCCACTCCTCCATCCCTGGAGAGGAAATCTGTCCGTACACACTATTTAGCTAGCGGCCAGCAGGCAGCTGGAAGTCTTGGGGGACCACTTCCAAGACTCAACTTCCTTCCTTTGAATTGTCCCTTGCTGCAGTTTTCCTCTGTACCAACCAAAGTCATCAATCCCAGAGGTGCTGGCTTTTCGGAGAGAAGCCTTACTGAGGAGAGAATGAGGACTCAATGTACAATCCAGCCAGAGAGGAGGACAGCCTCTCTGTCCTTCCTGCAGCCCCGATGCTGTCCCCTGTCCCTCTCCATGCCTGGGATTAGGACAGAGGCTTGCTGGAGGTATACCTCAATGCCCCGGGTTCCAAACTTGGTATTATTATCTGTGTCAAGTGGTGCAGCCAGCCACTAAATGTCAACTGCCGACTGCAGCCCAGGCTGTGTATCTCTGTCACTGCCTTCTGTGGTAGTACTCGTTCACCCCGCACCACACCTGTGGGTGCTGCACTCTGATCTGATCCCACCATCACCACACTTATCTTACAGAAAGACAGGCCAAGCTGTTAAGTCGCTTACTCACAAAGAGCTCCTGCTCATCTTAAACACAGCAATTACTGCATTGCGTGCTCCTTTTAGTGTAGTACGGAACGGAGGATGAGCACTGGACGGCAGCACTTGGTTTTAGGGCCAGATTTCATAGGTGGGGGGGGGATCCATCCCACACAGCTGCCTCACACTTTGCAAAGGAAGGCAGGAAACACTGGGGAGGGAGGGCAGTGCCGTTTCCAAGGAAACAACGGAGTACTGGCGGGTAAGGAGTTACCATTACGAAGACCCATCAGACAACAACCCCGGCTGGGCTCTGCGAAAGCCTTTCTTTAGCTTAGTGACCCTAAATGACCACACCGGGAAGGAATTACAGAGGTAGAAAATACAGTAACACGCATCATGGTTGCACACAAGTCAGCAGTGGCGTCAGGATTGAGCCCGAGCTCAAAAGCAGAGGGCGCCGCTGGGGACCCAGGCCTAGCGGACGGGAGGCTCCGGACGGACAGGGGACCCGCGACGAGGCCGTATGGCGCCAGGGGTCGGGCTCGTGAGCGCGCACTTACCGGGGTGCAGGTGAGCGCGCAGTGCGCGTGCACGGACCAGTGCCCAGAGAGAACGGTGAGCACGTGCGCGAGGCAGATGGTGGCGAGTACCAGTAGCGCGGCCTCGGGGACTTGAGCCCAGTTACTGCCCCAACCCCAGAAGCCGGCGGCCGCGGCTCCCAACCAGGCCGGGTAGAGGAGCCCCGCGAACGGCAGCACTGTGAGGCGCCGCA